GGAGTTATGTAATTGTAAAGTGCAAAATAAGTATTATAAATATGAAATAAAATTTAACTAGAATAATATTTAAAAAGTTTGAGAAAATTTTCGGAATACAAAATAAAAGTAAAATTTTATCTTAATTTAATATAGTATTTAACGAGTTTAAATACGAGTGTAGATTAAGTAGTATCAAAAGAGATGTAAAACTCCTAATAGAGGTCGAAAGCAGGAGAAAACGATTCGATTTAAGATTCGAACCTATTATAAGCCTGTAGAATCTAAATACGTCCTAAAATGAAGGACCAAAGTAGGAGCAAAATTTCGACTCGGAAGAATTTTGCGGTTCTAAATAGAAGCTGTAGATTAAGTAACATCAAAAGAGGTCTATCTGAGTACTTTAAGTATCAAAAGGTCTAAAAGGTCTAATTGAGGTTGAACATAGGAGTAAAATTTCGACTCGATTGTATACAACCGTTACATATAGCAACGGAAGTATTAGGGTGCCGTCCCATGGACACGGAAAACGGAATTAGAACACGGAATCGGAAATGTGAAGTGGTAGGGGCAACCAATCAGCATCGTTCCGTTCCGATTTTAAGTAGCCTGGCTCCCCATGGGACATATTTTTCGGAAAAGGAAATTTTTAGTAAACTGTCGGTCGCTGGCGATCACTAGCAATTAGGTTAAGAGTACTGAAAAAGTAGAGAATGTCATCTGTAAGTATTGTAATTATATGTTTGCTAAGTTATTTTATATTAGATTATGGTGATGGCCTTGCATACATTTCTAACCTAACATTAAATGTACAATATCCCAAATAGCCAAAGAAACTAAATTCAATATTATTATGTCAATTATGTTATTTTGATTTTTTATTGATAATGACCCAATCGGCGTCGAAACATCTGTACATTGTTTACTAAAAGCGAACGAAATTGATGACATGTTGTCTCCTGATGCTAGATAGCGTAAGCATATTTCCAGACGTGTAGAAGCGGATATTGGAGATCTCACTACATGTTGCTTTTCGATTTTCGGCCCAATCAGATGTAACAATTCATAATGTTAAGAATAATTCGAAATGTTAAAGTGTCCATGCGTAGGTATTCAATATGCTTTTCCATATCAATATATTGCATTTCTCTTATTAAATTATCACTTGCTCCCTGCAAATGCCTCCGTTCTTCGGTAAATATTGGACGCACCCAAAATTGTCGTTGGATCTTCAGATTTTCTATTCTTCTCAACATTTTATAAATACCAAAAGCTTTCAGCAGCTGTCTTCTTCGAAACTCTCTTTGCCAAGATAACTGTGGAGTACTTTGCCACTTCATTATATTTTTCATAAGAAGTAATCGTGCTGTTATCGCTTTCACCTTTTCCTTCAAAAATCAAATAAAAAATATTTAATATATTATGGGTCAAGAATAATAAAACTAGTAATAATAATAAGAAGGGCTACGAGTCAAAACAATTAGTTTAATCTTAGTAAACAATGTACAGATGTTTCGACGCCGATTGGGTCATTATCAATAAAAAATCAAAATAACATAATTGACATAATAATATTGAATTTAGTTTCTTTGGCTATTTGGGATATTGTACATTTAATGTTAGGTTAGAAATGTATGCAAGGCCATCACCATAATCTAATATAAAATAACTTAGCAAACATATAATTACAATACTTACAGATGACATTCTCTACTTTTTCAGTACTCTTAACCTAATTGCTAGTGATCGCCAGCGACCGACAGTTTACTAAAAATTTCCGTTTCCGAAAAATATGCCCCATGGGGAGCCAGGCTACTTAAAATCGGAACGGAACGATGCTGATTGGTTGCCCCTACCACTTCACTTTTCCGATTCCGTGTTCTGATTCCGTTTTCCGCGTCCATGGGACGGCACCCTTATGCTCTGACAAAGAAGTTACAATAATGATGGTACGACCAATTATACGTGGATTGCTTGATTTTCACCTCAATATAAATATGGATAATAGCTTAGCTACACAGCTGTTTAAGGCAATTGTACGGCAAGATTTGGAAGAGCGTTTTCACATAACTTTGGACAATTCAATCAATGCTCATCAAATAGCTAGTTTCCTAGATCCGCGTTATAAAAATCTCGTTGGCGAAACAGAATCTGTAAAATCTAAAATTTATGAATATGTGAAAATGAAGATAGATGTAGCTACGTCGGTAGAAGAAGAAGCACCTATTGGAGAACAACAGCAAGACCGACAAAAGATCGACAAGAAGAGTGCATTAGATTTTTTACTGCAGACAAAGTACTTAGATGGACAAACCGTTGCTTATTCCCAATTCCAGCTATATCACAGTGAATTACAAATCGATCACAATATGAGTGCTTTGTTATGGTGAAAGCAAAATAGCTACAAGTTTCCGGCCGGAGCTAGCACGAAGATATCTTGCTATACCAGCGTCGTCAGCAAGTTTGGAAAGAGCTTTCTCTACAACGGGAAATATCACCACAGCGAAAAGAAGTTGTTTAAAATCTGAAAATGTTACAATGTTAGTTTTTTGTATTAAAAAATAAAGATTTACTAAAATTTTTTAAATAATATTTTACAATAAATAATTTTAAATATTAATAAATGTCTAATTTAATCGACATCACGAGCGCGACGATTCGAAAGTCATTATCATTACGTTAAATGTTATGTTAGTTATGTTATGTTAGAAAACTACTAATTTAATGCGAGAAAACTACTAATAACTATAATTGTATATTTTGAAAATATAACACGTAAAAAATATTGCACAAAAACGCGTCAACTTTGCATTGAATTTCTTTAATGTTCAACTAATTTTAACGTCTTTTAATTAATTAATTAATTTTAATGTCATTTGATTTTTAATTTTAATGTTTAATTAACTTTAATGTCTTAACTTTACCATTTCTTATACATACGTGTACTTATAGTTTTAAGTAAAGATATTTTATTTATAATTGGAGTATTTTTTATTATCTATCTGATATTCTATTTTTATTACTCGAGTATTCGGGTAATACCCGAGAAAACCGGATACCCGAAATGACGGGTGTTGCCCGGGTACCCGAGTAATAGCCATGAAATTGGGTAATAGGGTCGTTACTCGGGTACCCGGGTAGACTCGGGTAACCCGGGTATAGAGATAACTCGGTCTATATTAACAGCCCTGCTCTGTGTAATCATTTTGTTTAAATGCATAAAATTGAAAAATATGTACATTTAAAATAATCAAGCTGTACTCGAAATTGAAATCTTTTTCATTTTTTGATTATTTTCAATTGTCGTTGTTTATGTCATTGTTGAACGACGGGAAACGTAGATCAGTATCTTTAAGATTTTCTTCGATCCAATTCTCTATTTTTGCATTTAATTCTGGAGTGAAAATGTCTTGCCAGTTCCCGTTTCCTCCTTTTCTAATAAAAGAACTGTCCTTAATGATTCCACAAGCCTTCAACTCAGAGTAATTCACCATCGGATTGTTTCGAAAATTTTGGACATTAAGATGATTTGTCACCTTGTTAATTTCTTCGTCGGTATATGTTTTATCCAAAAATTTTGCTACTTTCTTAATTGCTTCTGGAAAATCCTAGAATAAAAATATTTTCTTCAATATATATATATATATGTATATATGTATATAATTATAAGGTTGGTTTTTATTTGATATATATATATATATATATATATAATTGAGTTTTATACAATTAAAATATATACAGAATATAAATAAATTAACAATACTAAAAGGCTAAGTAAGAGTCAAATACATATTAAAATAAATTCAAATCAAACATATTATTAATTATAAATAAAAAGTATCAAATATTATCAATATAAATGTATAAAAATATATAAAAGAACTAAGAAGTTATAATATAACATGTTTCGGCTACAACATTGAGCCCTCTTCAGATATTAACTTTTTACAAAGCTTGATGTACAAATAATTTTACGGAAATTACGTATATTCCTTATAAAATCAGCCCAAGTGAGTCATCGTGCTGACCTCGACATTGTTCACATCCGATTGAACGGTCGAATGTTTACCAAGTATCTTGGCAAAAAATCTAATCCGTAAGTAAAAAGAATAAATAAAAAAAATATAGAAAAAGTATAATTTCTTTCCCAAATACTAAAAACCATTAAGTGAAGTAACAAAAAAAGAAATTCTAATAATAAAAAAGACTCACCAAAAGCCATGTGTATAATAGTTGAACAAGTACATCGAAATGTGTATAAACCAATTAAAATCCGAATAATAAAAAACCAGTAAGACTTCAAGTTGCCCAATAACATTAAGTCGTATAGGATACATACAATCCAATAGAGTAGTACAAAATGCATACACTACAATATATCGTATATATTAGGTGTTAAACTTAATTCCTGCCGTTTTTCGTCTCCAAAATTTATTTGTTTCGAAGGGAAATACCTAATCAAAGTATTATTAATATAAAGTATTATTAATTAGTAATAAAGTAGAAAATGGAGGAAATTACTTTGATTAAGGTATTTTCATTTATCTTCCCTTCGAAACAAATTAATTTTGGAGGCGAAAAATGGCAGGAATTAAGTTTAACACCTAATATGTACGGAGAACATTGTGTGTCAATTATGACATACGTTCGCTTATACGAATTAACACGAACTGAAAGAGGAAATGGCTTGTTAGTATCAAAAAGTCAAACTTTATTTACAATAGGTATATATGCCTTGTGGAGACCTTCCGTGTCGGTTTGTGAATTTAGACTATTTTTCTGCTTCTTAATATTGAACATCTCAGAAATTAAGAGCTTCCTATAACAAGGCTCCTCATCCAGAATTTTTACGTTATCCCATTGAAAATCATGGTCATACTGCAACCTGTGCTCAGTTATGTCTAATATGATTACGATGTTCTGTAACTCTGGTTTTCAATTGGATACCCATCTGTCCAACGTACGAAGCATCACAGTCTTTACAAGAGATCTTATAAACTACATTGTTCTTAGATGTATGGGGACAATGATCCTTTTGCATGTTTATATATTTACCCATTTTATTAGGACTATGAAATGAAACCCTCATGTAGCTTTTATTGAAACGTTTAAATTTCTCTGTGTAAAAAGGAATAAATGGTACCGTAAGCCAAGATGCAGATTCATTTGTACTTACATTGTCAATCGAATCTTTATGTCCTATATGTTTATTCCTAAGTAAATTTTTAATACGTTGGTTAACCGTGTCAAAAATAAAAGTCAATGGGTAGTCGTTATCTAATAAAATATTAATAATAAGATGATTTGAGTAGAAATTTAAAAATTGGCTCGTACGATACCAATCAAAAAAATAAAATAATTATTACTAATAAATATCGTAATATCTAAAAAATTTAATTTATCTCCCCCTATTTCCATGGTAAATTGAAGACGTGGATGAAATGAATTAGAACATTGAAGAAGAGGTTCAATTTTTGAGGGAGCAATTGTAGTACAGATATCATCCACATATCTATAGTAAAAAAGAATGTCCTCATTAAACGATATCAAGGACACCGTTTCCAATCTCCTGATTACCAAGTCCGCAAGTATAATAACGGAGAGCCCATGGGAGTACCGAAGCATTGTTTATAAATTTGATTATCAAATAAAAAAAAGGTGGAATCTAAAACAAACCGAATCGCCTCCGCAAGAACTCATTTTTAGGCAGAGAACATTCTTTCGAAATGAAACTCCGTTGATTATTCACGCAATCCACAGCTATATCTATTGGAACGTTCGTAAAAAGTAAATTTACAAACCGACACGGAAGGTCTCCACAAGGCATATATACCTATTGTAAATAAAGTTTCGATACTAACAAGCCGTTTCCTCTCTCACTCCGCGTTAATTCGTATAAGCGAACGTACGTCATAATTGATACACAATGTTCTCCGTACATATGTATATATACGATATATTGAAGTGTATGCATTTTGTACGACTCTATTGGAGTATATGCATCCTATACGATCCTTCATGTTATTGTGCAACTTGAAGTCTTACTGATTTTTTATTATTCGGATTTTGATTGGTTTATACACATTTCGATGTACTTGTTCAATTATTATACACATAGCTTTTGGTGAGTCTTTTTTATTATTAGAATTTCGGTTTGTTTCTTCACTTAATGGTTTTTAGTATTTTGTAAAGAAATCATACCCTTTCTATATTTTTTCTCTTTTCTTTTTTTATCTATGGATTAGATTTTTTGCCAAGATACATGGTACACATTCGGCCGTTCAATCGGATGTGAACAATGTCGAGGTCATGATGACTCACTTGGGCTGATTTTATAAGGAGTATGCGTGTTTTCCGTAAAATTATTTGTACACCAAACTTTGTAAAAAGTTAATATCTGAAGAGGGCTCAATGTTGTAGCCGAAACATATTATATCATAACTTCTTAGTTTTTTAATACATTTTTATACATTTATATTGATAATATTTGATACTTTTTATTTGTAATTAATTATACGTTCGATTTGAATTTATTTTGATGTGTATTTGACTCTTTTACTTTGCCCTTTAGTATTGTTAATTTATTCTCATAAAAAGAATCTTTCTATATGTCTAATATTTCAGAGTGTAAATATTAAAAAATACCAGGTATGTAAATATGAAACCGGAATTTACCAATAGATGGCCATAGCTGTCAATGTAGTTGCCGTTAGACCGTGTCATTGACGCCATTTCCTTGTTCTGACATCTGACAAAGATTTTCAACTCACAACAATACAAGTTTTATACAACAGTATAGTTTGTAATAGCGTTGAACATGTCGAATTTTGTGCGTGGAAACTACGATTTGCGGACAACATTGATTTTCTGTTACCGTTTGAAGAAAACTGCTGCAGAATCGCATCGAATGCTTGTCGAAGCTTACGGTGAGCATGCTCTTGGTAAATCACAGTGCTTTGAGTGGTTTAAAAAATTGAAAAGTGCCGATTTTGACGTGAGAAACGAAGAACGTGGAAAACCACCGAAAAAGTTTGAAAACAGCGAATTGCAAGCATTGTTGGATGAGGATGACGCTCAAACTCAACAACTCGCGAATCAATTGAATGTGAAGCATGACATGAGAAGCCGTCTTTATTATACGTTTGAAATACATGGGAAAGATCCAGAAGATGGGAAAATGGGTTCCACATGAACTGAATGAAAGACAACTGGAAAACCGAAAAACCACTTGCGAAATGCTGCTCGCCAGGTACGAAAGAAAGTCATTTCTCCATCGAATTGTGACTGGCGATGAAAAGTGGATATATTTTAACACACACAGCAAAACTGGTCAAGGAAACGATTGAGGCGTTTGGTTGGGAAATACTTTCGCATGCGGCTTACTCACCAGACTTGGCTCCATCCGATTACTACTTATTTGCATCGATGGGACACACACTTGCTCAGCAGCGCTTCACTTCTTACGAAGATGTACGAAAATGGCTAGATGACTGGTTTGGCTCAAAAGAGCAACAATTTTTTTGGCGTGGCATCCACAAATTGTCAGACAGGTGGGAAAAATGTATAGCTAGCGATGGGCAATACTTCGAATAAAATATTTTTTATCATTATCATGCAATAAACGTGTATTTTCTATTAAAAAATTCCAGTTTCATATTTACGTACCTGGTAAAAATGGGGTTTTTAAATAAAAAAACGGGTATTGATCATGGAAGATATAATGTTCAAAAGACTAATGAAATTGCTGCAATTTTTTCAACTACCGCTGATGGAGATATTCCTGATTGTTATGTTATAATTGAAACTCTAGATAAATAAGTCGGTAAATGACAGCAATAAACGAGCCATCTACCGTCGAAAATATGAAAAGGAGATGACTTTTTGAGGTGACGTATCTTACATAAAATTTTGACATTTCGGATTTCGCATCACGATATCTCCGTTCGTGGGACACGTAGAGGCTTATTATAGAGTTTATTATATATTTCGGACCCAAACTATTGATGGAGCTCATATTCAGAATTCGATCGATCTAGCCTTTATTAAAAAAACCGAGAATTTCCGATGCTCGGATGCCCGCAACTCGCTGACTCGCGTAAAGACACTCATGTCTCGCGCTGCGCGCCCACTTGGCGCGAGACACTACCGTGTTTCTTGATTGTCCGCAAGGACTAATTTTGGATGTCGCTCTAATTTCAATTTTGACTACTGATTCTTGTAGAGAATTTCATAACGCATCTTTTTTGTCATTAAACCAAATTTGGAATTTTTTTGTTTTTAAGTTATAAACAAAAAAAGTAATTTTTTTAATGAAAAAATTTCAATAAGTTTTTGTGTTCAACTCGCCATATCTCAGCCAAATATGAATATTTTTCTTTGAAATTTTAACAGGGTAAACTTCAACATGTTTCTTGAAATATAAAGCATATAAAGTTTTCGAAACATTTCACAGCCAAATGCCGAATTTTTCAAAATATTCGATTTATTCGATAAATTTCAGAATTTTCGATTTATCAACTTTTACCGATACTACAATTTTGTTTATTAGTTAAGGAAATTTTTTGGAAAGTTTTATCTCCTTAAATATTATATATGGTTATAAGGTAAT